TAACAAAACTGGATTATGATTTTGAATTTTTCAAAAATATATTAATTATAAGGACTCAGATTTTTACATTAGAAATTTGCATACATATTTGTTCTTTATCTTCACTTTTCTCACGAAAAAAAAAAAGAACTATATTTTCAATCGATTAAATATAGAAGAATGATTATTGAAATTTATTCACCTGTTTTTGATAATTATTTAATTCATTATTTGATGATTTTTGTGGTGAAACTTGTTGATAATTATTTGAAGATGATGATGATGATGATAATGGTGTCATTGATAATGCAGTTGTCATTGAACCGATTGGTGATGATATAATTGGATCTTTTGGTAAAGGTGGTACAACAGCTGTTGGTCGTGTTGGACGATGAGTAGCAAGTGGTGATGTTTGAGGATAAAGTATTGGTTGACAATCAGGTGTTTGATTTATTGCTGGTGTTGTTGTTGTTGTTGTTGTTGTTGGCATAAAAGCACGTGAAGCATAAGCTAGAAATAATTGAATAGAAAATTTCCCGCTTAAATATTTTTATCTTTTTTTTTTTGTTTTTGACTTACGTGATACTGATGATGCTGTTGTTGGATTATATCCACTGTTATTCGGACTGATTTGTTGTGGAAAATGATGATTTGGATAATGAGTATATGGATTAGTGGGTGATCTAAATTTAATAATAATAATTATAAAATGAAATAAATTTCAAATATACTAACGAAAAAGGACGTGAAAATGATGATGGAGTATGACAAACTCCTAGAAAAAAAAAACTAATTTCAATAATAAAAAAATAGTATATTATTATTCATACCATTAAAAATATTTGGATTATACTGTATTGTTGTTTGTAAAAGAGGAGGTAATGTATGTATTGATAATGGTGTTGGATCTGACGGATGACGGAGTGTACTAAGAAGCAAAAAAAATGTTTATTTTCATAATATATATTGTTATCTATTTACATTGATGTAGCTGTATTTGCAACAATTGAAAGTTTATGTGCAAGTTGTTGTGCTAATGAACCATCGCGACAATTGAGTAACATTGATGTATATTCAGCTGTACTACTATCAACAATTCGTTCCATACCTGGATTAGCCAATGATAATACTGGCAATTCACGTACGACTAAAAAAACATAAGTAAATATAAATGATAAGTTTTGTTTTTTTATTTCTAAGGAAGATTTATACCATCATTGAGTGGTGCTGATGTTATTAAATTAATGGATGGTAAATCCATAATGAATGGAATTGTTGTTTCAACGAGGTCTTTTTTTTTTTGTTTTTATTGGACTAGAGAAAAATATTAAACGATGACAGATGATCGAATTTGTACGGATATACAAGACGAAAAAGAAACAACGAATAAATGTTATTTATTGTTTGTTGTTTTTTTGTTCGTTCTTTAATCGTTTTTTTTTTATTCACGTCAAAATATTTGACCAATAGAAAACAGTGGGAACGGGAGAACAGGAAAAAAAAAGATTATATTGTCATCTTGCGACATCGTTCTGTTCTTTTCTAGTTGTGCAGAAATACATATCTGAATATCAAGACTTTATAAAACAAAAAAATTTTGTTTGCATTTTTCTCAATGTACTGTATTCTAGAGAGTTGTAATCTGTACTACCTCGAACGCATCTGGAATTACACTTTTTGCCTTCAATCGCACCCTTCCCCCTCCCTTTTGGAAAATCGCACCTCCCCTCCAACAATCCTAGATAGTTAATCAGGGTTGAAAAAAAATTGATTCAAGCTGCTTACTCTATTCTTAACAATTTTCTACTGACTTTTTTATATTACATTAGTTTTATCTATCATGAAAACGTCGATTTCAATATGTCGCGACGTATAATGTTAGATGACAATGCAATTTTTTTTTCTTTATCTATTCATTCTTCTAAGTAATGACTTTTTTTTGGATGGCACCATCTTTAATAAATAACCGTATCCGTAAACTAAGCGAAACAGCTAAGATGGCTAACACTGATGTCTCCAATGTATTCTGACTCATAGAGAAAAATTTGTTTCTTTGTAAGAGTTTAAAAATATTTATCGAGTGAGATCTTAGAAATATTCAAGCAGAAGATCTACAGTTTTCGATAGGTTATCATGATATGAAAAATTATCAGTAAGAAGTTACAGAATGATTTTTTCTTCTATAGTTTTTAATTTGATTAGAAGAAAAACAAACAGCTAACCAAATATCGATTAATGATGTTGAAAGTTTTACACGTTGTCAATGACATCATTAGTGTATTGTCGGAAAATTTCCTGGTGCAATAGCATTATAAATTTAAAAAAAACAAAAGATAAATATCATTCAATTACTATTGGGTGCTTTTAAAACTTTCGAAAATTTAAGACGATAGTTCTTACGTCTGTTGTTTAATTTAGAAAAATAATTTATATTCTATAAACAATCAAATAGAATTGGTTGGCTTGACTTAAGTAAGAATTCGAAATTTATAGTGATGTTGATAGTATTTGTTTATGTCAAAGAGGAAACAACGAATTTTCAGAGACTTCATGGCTCTTCATAACCGAAGTCTATGTTGTTTTTTTCCTTCGTTCTGCATGGAAGAGCTTCTATTTTTACATCCAAATAAATAGTAAACCTAAGTGAGATGTGTCACACTACGAACCAATTGTTTCAAAGAATCTAGATCTAATTTTATTAGCTTAAGAAACAGCATTGGACAGAAAAAATTTTTTAATCCTTGTTCTGTTTCAAGTTCTTATAGTTCGATAGTGATATGTGCACTGTTTACAAATACCATATTTCTTTTAAAAATACTCAGATAATAAGAAAGATCTGAAGTGTTGAATGAAAGCTTTGAACACGAGTTTTTGACCTGAAAATGTTGCAGAATGTTTTTTTTCTCTGTAAGAACTCTTAAAGACTTCTGAAGCATTCCATTCTTTTCCTATCGATAAATGTCGAATACTATCCCAATCTAGTCGTTTTATAGAAAATAGCGAATTTTTCAGTCTTATAAAGTTATAGTCTTTTCAAATACACCAATGAGATTTTGTGTCGACTTTGTACTTCAATGTGCTCTTTCTGACGACATCATTTTCAGCTTGAAATTCGATGTCTAGTCAAGTACTTTTACTTTACGTACTATACTTTAGAGTCAATATGCATATTTTTTTGACTAATATTCGACGGTTTTCGAGCAGAAGAATCCCTATTTGATTTCAAACAATAGGGACATTCGAAATTAAGACAAAAACCTGAGTCGATTTATATACGTTTTCAATTTGCGATGATGCGGTTGTGATTGTAGATGAATTAAGAGCACATCCATACCTTACTCAATTGAATTGCAACATTCTTGCCTTTTTTCTAACTCACAGCACACGAGAGAGAAAAGAGTCAAGCGTTGTTATTAGAATCATTATTGCCATTTTTTTTTAATCCGTCTGTCATGCACTCCATACAAGTGATTGCTGCGATGAAAATGTTCCTTATTGATATAGAGAACGAAAATGACTATAACCATTTCCTTACTTGGTTATCATCAAACGCAATGTGAAATCCTTATAGGATACAAATGCATCAGCTACTGGATCGATTCACATAGATCTTTTCATTTGATCCAACTCAATTATATTCCGATACATTTGACTGTCGTTAGTGAGGATCTGCATAATAAATTTGGGCTTCTCTTTTTCACTAAATGGAGAAAAAGCAGGCTCTCATCAAGAGTTCTTTTAGCAATCGGTCATTCGTCAACAATGTAAACAAGAGATTAGATTACAGACTTTTAAAATGTCATTGGCAATATTCAAAGTGCTATGATCCATTGTAAGACAAATATGTTCACCATGCCATGATCACTTTCATAATAATTGTAATAGAACAGTTAAAAAGCAAAATTAGAATAGATGGAAGATACTGATATCTTATCGCTTTATGGACTTATTCGGTCTTTCCAATGATGTATTGTATACTATTTGTGATGATTTTCATCAAGATCCATTCGGCAAATAATACTAATGTAGTCGGGATCTAACGGACTTTATTCTTAGAATGAATTCATATTGGTTCTCTACCAAGAAATGTTTTCCGTTGAACAACAACATATTTCTTGACATTTGCGACGATTTCGATCATACATTCGTTTTCTGGCTTGATCAATATATGAACAATGGTTTCAACTTCTTTTTAAAGCCTGCCAATGATATGTTGTTAGTATACAGGTTTCATTTTTAAAAGAATATTTTGCCTAAACGAAATTTCGGTCGTTTGGCCCATTTTGATCAGACTATTGAGTTGCTCGATTAGATTTAATCAAAACTGAATTTACCGTACGCCATCAAAAAAGTGCACTCTCGCATTTACTTATGGAACAAGTTGCAGTTTCGCACTATTATCTTATGAAGTTTTAAATTTTAATATGAGATCAGACCTTGTCATTCAGTTGAAAAACACTATTTTTCCAGTTAATTGATGATATTTCGCTAGGTCTTAAAGGATTAATCAAACGTTGCACATATATACATAGTCTCTGTTATAAGTACAATCGCAAGAAATTCACATTTTAATCTCAATGTTTCTTAAAAGTCTGGATTACCACGATAATGTGACGATTTTTTAACCTAAATCGAAAAAAGAACAGTGATGTGAAGATGTACAAAAACTTAACTATTTTGTTTAAAAATTTTACACCAAATAAACCACCGAATTATTCATCCAGGTCATTTTGAAATGACGCATACATTCGTCATCGACAAACCATGTGTTCTACACTAGGTAAAAGAAAAAAAACAAGTATTTTCTGTTCTTATATTATATTTTTCTCTTTAGCGTCATGCAACGAAAGAGAACAAGCGTAGGATAACTGCTTGCTTCTTCTTTCTCTAACGTCACGGTTATGAATGTTTTTTTTTCTGCAATGTCACTGTGACGATTATACTCCAAGAATTTCCTATATATATGAGTATTGTGTACCACCTAAATCATACTTTTCCTCCTACTTACTTTCAACTGTGTAATGCCTTCGAAACTGAAAATCACTCCACGTTATTCAAACGAACGTGGTCTTGCTGATCATGGTTGGCTACATTCATATCACACTTGGTCATTTGATTCTTACTATGATCCTCATTATCCAAATGGTTTCGGTTGTTTACATGTTCTTAATGAAGATCGTGTTGAGCCAAAAAAAGGTTTTGGCACACATTTTCATCAAGAATATGAAATCTTTTCATATATCGTCGATGGAGAACTTCAACACAAAGATTCTATGGGTAATACAGAGATTATACATCGTGGTGAAATACAATTTACATCGGCTGGAACAGGTATTCGTCATTCAGAATATAATGAAAACAATTCATTATGGGTTCATTTTATTCAAATATGGGTTAAGCCAAATAAATCAAAACTACAACCATCATATGTGACAAAAAAATGGTCAGATGAAGAGAAATTGAATAAGCTTTGTCTATTAATCGACGATATTGAAAATTCGAATAATACTTCTATTGCAATTCATGCACCAATATCAATGTTTGCGAGTATTTTACAGCCAAATAAATCTGTAAAACATATCTTTGCCAAAACAAAAGGATACATTCATTTGATCATGCGTAGTGGATATGTAACACCTTATAAAAATAATGAAGAGAAGAGTGGTGCAAAAATTCGAATTGGACAAGATATTATTTTGGAAGAAGGTGATGGAGCATTTATCAACTGCGAACAGGTTCCTGCCGAACTATTAATTGAAAGTATTGGAGAAATAAATGCCGAGTTTTTATTATTTGACCTTGAATAAACTTTTTGAACATAGATCGAACAATTACACTTTTTTTTTATTATAGAAGTTAACATTCGATTTTTGTACAATGTTGTAAAACTCTTTTTTTTTCGTTTTCTAATGTTTTTCTATGATAAACAATATTAACCTTTCATAAAAAATTACCCATGCAGTTGACTGAGAAACGTCACATTTTGAAATTTAAAAAAAAATGCAGATACACTATTTGCCTCTATAGTATTTGTATTTTATTGGACTACGAAATAGGACTTAGTTCCGTTAGAGCTTCGAGTATATATTATCTTTACACATGCCTGGTTTTAAAAAATGATAAAAAAAATACTCTCATATAGGCATTATGGAAAGCGACGATTCTCAAAACCTGTTTTTTTTTTAAACTTTTCCGCCAAAATTTCGAGATTGAAAAATAGCACAAGTTTTTGCTCGTGCTTACCTAAACAATCACCAAACGCATAAAATAGTAAGCAATAACGACTCTCGTATTCAGTTAACAGAAATGAATTCAAAGAAATAAAAGTTTTTCTTTTTTTTGCAATAATTTTAACACTTTTATAAAGAATTGATACTATTCGAAAGCTACTTGTACTAACTTAGCTGAACCATAGAAATGAGTAACTCAACAAAAATTGTAGTAATTTATTTAATATTCCATCGGTACAAGTCGTCCAGATTTCTTTTTTTAACCTCAAGTTACTAACTGTCACATCGAGTCTGTCACTCTCTACAGTTGCATTAAGTTCCTCAATTTACTCATGAATGATGTTACTATGACATTCAATTTATATTAGAAAATTTTTATTCTTTCTGGGCTAGAAAAGCGTTTCGAATAAAAAAAAAATCAAAACCGAAAATACTTTCTTCATAGACAATATCTTTCATTAGCATTGTTATCTACTGCTTTACAGACAAGTGTATCAGAAGTTTACTTTTTGCAAATGACCTGAAAATATTACATTATAGTCGTTAATATCGCTAGGTTTAGTTTCTCTTCAGTTAGTTATTGAAATGCTACTTAGTTGGTTACTTCTTCAAGCTGAAAAATTTCCAATATAACATTAGATCTCTATTAGAAATTAAACACGATCAGTCTATCTGCATATGAATTTATTTTCACTTGTACATATGAAATATATTTTCAAAGAGAGAGGAAAACAGCTAAGAGACATGACAATAACAAATATGAAAAAAAAAGAGCTTTGATTAGCAGCCATAAAAATATAACGTGAAACATTTTCATTATGTTTTGAGATAGTGTTTTTGCACAATTTTTTCATCCTTGCCGAATATGATCGTCGTTGGATCTGATTTGTAACCATCAACTATTTTTTTAATCGCAGTCTTAGTAAGATGATGTGCTGTTATCAGATGTGAAATGAAGTATTGGAAACTCGTCCACCGAAAATAACACGGTATATTTGGTATTTGCTTCGGATGACATCGGAATGGATTCGTTGTACTATCATAGAATGGGCATACCAATTTATCATTTTTATTGAAAATGTCTTCATCATCACTAAACAATTTTGTTATCTTTGGATCTTGACCTTGTTGAATAGCCTTGATTAAACGTTTAGCATAATTAGCTTCAATAGAATGTATATGTACAAAATGAGAATACAATATCCTTTGGCTAATCGTTTGACTGTTGCATAGACGAATTAAATGTTTTGCTTTGGTTAGACCAAATGCACCATCAAATGTCAATGGACATAATCCACGATAATGAATTACCGTTGAGTTTGGTATGTGTTTCATTTCATCGTTGGTTTCATCCTAAATAATTTATTTTCTTTAATGCTGACTCTTTATAATTCACGATTATCAAGATGTCTATCATCTGTTTGCTTTACCTTTGTATTATTTACTGGTCGACTAAAAATAAAGAATAAAATATTTTTAAGATATGCAATGTTCTTGTTAGATTTAGGAAAAAAACCTACTTGAAGAGATACGTTTGTGTGGACCTATGGTCGATATCCATTGAATTATGGTTAACTTTAAGAATTAAATTAGAAAATCTCACTATTGAATTAACTACGAATATAGACTTACTTGTTTGTATTGTCGTCGATTCTTCTGAAACATCTAAACAGAACGAGAGAGAATGAATAATCCATTGACCAAAAAATGAAAGATCTATCCAAAATAAAAGAGACATACCTGCATCGTGAACAGAACAACTCGACTCACTGAGATTGAATGATCTAAAAAATTCAACTAACGAAATGAATAAAGAAAAAAGAATAATGACTTACTGTAATTCTTGTTGAGCATTACACTGTGTCGACTCATCTAAAAATGTTTTTTCACAATTTTCATACGTTGAATCAATTGATAAATATTGACATGAATTATTCTTGGCTGAATGACACGAAAAATAACGAAATTCATACATAAATCGAAACAAAATCGAACTGACCGACAACTGAATAGTTTTCCATCAGTGCTGATTCTACTTTAACTATCACTTCATCTACAAAAAAGAAAGAGAATTCGACGTAAATTTTTCCTTCAGAAATTTTACTGTTTTGATTTGCTGCAATAGTTGTCTGTACTTGATCAAGAATATTCTGCATTTCATTAGCAGAAGACGTAGTTGCAAGTGCAGCCTTTCCTTGTTCCAATAGTGTTTTATGTTGTTCAATTACACGCATATGTTCTTCGATTATCATTTCGAATGTAGATAAGACAGATGTCAATTGAATGATACATGTTTGTAATTGTTGTTTGTTAACTGTTGCTTTTTCATCGTGTTCGATCAAATGAGGTAGACAAATGAAACGAATACAACAGTGACATTCGTACAATTGCTTTGTTTCATTGGTACACGTCTCATCAGTACATCGTCCTAATTGAGGCATATCTAGAAGACAAAAAACTGATTCAAGAAATTCGCTAAGTTTTAAATCAATTTGATCTGCTGTTCTTATTATGTCCAAAACAAAAACTATCTATTACAGGTTTTGATTCCATTTGAGTTGTGAGTATCAACTAGAGTAGAGCAGTCACAGTCTTAAAATGTTACTTTTTTTAAATATTGTACATTCAATTTCAGAAAATATATTGTTATATGCAGTTTAAAAGAAAGTCTTAGAGTGAAGACAAAAACAGGATGATTTATTCTAGTAATAGAAAAAGTTATTGTTATTATTTTGTTTTATTTAAAATCAATCTACTCAATTCATCTTCTGGCTTCTTCGCACAAAAAATATTGTACATATTTCATTCGATGTATTTTCTACATGATCACTGTTCACATACTTTTTCATTCAGATCAACCGTTAATGTAACTTATTAGTCAACAAGAAGAAATTGATTTAAGTAAAGTGAGCATTTATCTCACTGCTTTATTCGACAAAGTGCACGAAACAGTTTTCCTCATTTTTTGATCGAATTTCTATAATTATATCATTGATGCCTTAGTTGATGTTAGATATTGCTCGTCAACATAAAATCAGAGAGATCGATTGTACAAATAATTTATTTGAAAGAAAAATTCTTAAAATATCTAAATTGCTTAAAACCAAAGGATCATGTTTTATCATTACTTTTTTTGTATATTGTGTACAATTTTTTTCTCAATTGTTCCAGAAGAGACGAGTAATTAATGGTATCTTGATCATCTGTTTTTCAAATGAATCTAATTTAATTTGTTCTCTTTCTTTGTGAACAAAGATTATCATTGACCAATAGAAATAAACCAACCAATAATTTCGATACAGGCAAAACAAAAAATAGCGTTTTAGTGATCGTTCGGATATATACAGATATCATTAATAAATGGGTATATGAAGATACTTATAAAAGTACAATTTTCTTTAGATGAATGTGTGTGTTCTACTTTAGTTGACACCCATAGTCTTTATTAAATCTTAATATGACGAAAGTTTTATTTTAGAAAAAAATATTGATTTTTTTCTTGAAACATTTGAGATTAACTCAAAAAAATAAAGTTGTTCATCATTTGATTGAGAAAAATAGCTTAAAAATAAAGTTTGATCAAAGTTTTCAGATTCACGGAAAAGCTTTCAATAGTTTTCTTGATTGTAAAAATCTTTGAATCTAACGTTATAGAAAATTGTTATTTTCGAAAAATAGCCTTCATTTATAATGAAAAACTTAAATTCACAAATTTACCGTTATTCATTGCTTATTGATCGAACGATTACTGGCGAAATGGTTATCGTCATTATTGCATGTTTATTATTAAACACTGATGATCATCTAGTCATCATAATGTATTAACGAACAAAATGCTCATTGTTAAATTCGAATCTGAAAATCTATTCGTTCTTTTGTCCTCATATTCTAAGAAAGGAATTTTAACTAGACTAAATAGCAAGCATTTCTTTTTTTCGTACAAATTTGTTTTATATTTAGATATTGATTTTAATCACATGTAATTAGTAAATTGGTTTATTCAAAATCACTTCTTTCATACAAACTATGGTGCCGAAATCATATTTATTTTTATTTGTTGATAGTCTTGAGAGTGTGGATGTGGATATGATTGAAATAAGGACCCATATCCACACCCCACACTCACACGCTTCTAGATTACGAGATCATGACTAGTTTCGTAAGAAATAGAAAAGAACAAAACATGAATCATGTTACAATAGGATCAGTAGAGTAGAAATAAATTAAAAAAGCTTGTTAACGCAGCTCCAGAGAAGCTGAAATATGGAACTCACGTATATCTTTGAAACTTGTTTTCCTGATGCTCGATGTTTAAACTGCAAAATACCTTTTCTCGAGTATTTATGAAAGCATTGATATATTATATATAATCGAAAGCCTTCTATGCGCGGTTGCTCAGGTCTGTAATGGGGGTTGTCTCTAATGGGGGGCTGTCTGTAATGGGAGGGGGGGGGGGGTATGTCTGTAATGTTCTCTTTCCCGTTGCTAAGTGTCTGTAATGGGGTGGGGGGGGGGGGGGGGGGGGGGGAGCCGCCAACCTCGAACTGAAAACTTACACTCACTATTTTCTTCGAAAACATACGTGAGTTCCACAATACAATACAGAAGCCGCGATGAAAAAAGGAGAACAATGAATAAGAGAGAAAGAAAATAAGAGAGTTTTAACGATAAGAAATCGAATCATTAAGGGTGTGAGTGAGTGTAGGTGTAGTTTTTTCATTTTTCTGTTTCTCTCTCTCTCGCCTTTTACGTTCATGAAAAAGACGATTCTATAATATCAATTACTCAAGATAATCTACTTGCTCATGTCATTTTGTTCTTATATGATAATCTGTTACAAAGACTATTCTCAACTTTTGTCACCTTTAGCGTGTGAAAATGTCATATCAAAGTATAATTAAAAAAATTAATTAAATATCCTTTGAAGATTTGGAGATGGATATGTGTTTATTCTACATATATATTTGTTAATATACAGTACATCTTTTATGTTAGTCAAAACAAAAGTAATGTACTTGAAGCTATTGAAAAAAACAATTTCGAATTTGATTTAAAAAAAAAACAGAATATCTAATTTTCCATATCTGATTTGTCTAGATCACTAGTTGTAAATTTGTTTCAATACTGATCGTTGCAGTCAGCACTATTTTATTATTTGTAATATTTTATCTTTTTTCAAAGAAGAAATGAGAAAACTGATCTAGATTTGTTATCATTGCTAGATAAACAGAATTTTATAATACACTATTGTCAAATTGATAGCTGTATAAAATAGACTTTTAATGTAGTTTTCTTAATGTGTCAATCTTTTCTGTCATCGGGCATCTTTGAGCTATATCCATTATTTTTAGCTATGCATAAAAAATTTTTATTAAGAATAATCTCCTCATTCTGTATCTATATGATTAAATTTTATTAACATATAAAAGAAATAGTTTGATTTGTTTTTCTCAAAAGAATAGTCCAGCTTTATTAATTTTTATTTTCAAATCAAACTCATTTTATCAAAGAATCTATTTTATTAATTATTAAAACAATAATTTCATAGATTATAATAACTCACAATTATGTATTTACGTCATGATGTTCCATTTTTCTTATTTTTACTTCATTTTACAGTTATCCAAGCCTTAAGCGACTGTAGAAGAAGAAAAGCAAAAATGATATACTATAAATAAAAGAGCTATTTCATATAGAAGTGTTACATAGTCATTTTTTGAACATTAATTCATTAACATGTCGTTGAACAGCACAACAATCATGGTCACTTCAACAAAAGTAACAAACACAATCACTATTCTCAATCTTTTGATGGAACGATTTGTGAATCATCTTCCATTAATATTCTTCATTTTTGGTCTGATCGGTTTCATCGGCAATGCTTTAACATTTATTCAAGTTAATCTTCGGTCAAATACATGTTGCATATATTTACTCTGTAGTTCTATCATGGATGTTACCGTTCTTTGTTTTAATACATTGCCACTCTATCTGAGTGCAAGATATGGAACATATATTCCGTGGAGGAAGATGCCCAATCTGTGCAAGTTAAATATTTTTCTGCTTTCATTTCTTCCTCATTTGTCAATTAATTTTTTGTTGATGTCTATTATTGATCGATATACTTGTACATGTAAACTGGCATCACCTATGCGTCGTCTTACTAAACTTAAAATGATACCATGGTTGATCGGTATAACTATCATCTTGAGTTTTCTCGCTTCACTTCGTGGACTCATTCTTTTTGAGTATAAACGTGTTGCAGGATGTGTAGCAACATATCCACTGATCAATAATATTTTGTATTTTGTGGTCCAAGTTCTCATGCAACCAGTGATAATGCTTGTATTTGTCTTGCTGACTTTTCGGAATGTTCGTCAAAGTCGTCAACGAGTAGTAAGTTCATTAATTTTCGCTGGAAATAGATAATCATCATTTATTTTAGGGTGGAACAACACGGACACAGCCAGATCGCTCTCGAAAACAATTCATTGCTTTGATTTTTACACAAGTTATAGCAACAGCTTTCATTTCATTACCATGGGCGATTGTGTATATGTATTATAATATGCCTGCCAGTGCTAGGACCTCTGAACAACTGGCTATTATTAATTTTGCCTATACCCTTACAAACTACTGTTTTTATATGAACTATGTCAAATCATTTTATTTATCAATAATAACATCACATGTATTTCGACAAACGTTCATAAAAGCGTTGATCAAACTATTGCCTCATCATCTGCGTCCACAATGGCAAGTATCTCAGTCTAATATGTCCATGTTGATGACTGTCACAAAAATCAATCCACAAACTACAAGACGACATGCAACGGAAACAGTACTTTGAGAGCGGTTTAAAAACTTTTCAATTTTTTTTGTATTGTATGGATGTTGTTCGTCTAGTAAATTGTCAATTACGATTGTCAAAGCATCTTAATCTACAATGGGTCGAAAAATTATCTGTACATCCCTGGAGTTTTTTCTTTTCGCTTGTTTTATCTTAGGGTGTGGGTGTGGATGTGAGTGAACAGATGACCAATTTCTACACCTACACCCACACCCACACCCACACCCTTCAATATCAAAAATTATCCTTTTGTTGTTCACCACAGTTTTATTTCTTTATTCCATTATAGTTTTTCTTGCATATGAATTAGTATTAAATCTAATCGAAATATATTTCTCATTCATGTAGTCAAATGTAATACTACATTGCATACTGTCACAATTTTTAATTTCATATATCCATTTTTCATATATAATTTGACGTTGTTTATTATTTAATCTTTAAATTATATTATCATGTCGAGATTTAAATGAGACAGAACCCATTGATATATATGTATATATAGGTTAGAGGCCGAATTAAATTCTACTGAAGATGAATGTTATTTAACTTATCTAAAAATGAAAACTGAATATTCAGAAAATAATTCATATGAATGGTATCGAATACATGTTGATCTATTATATCTTGATGCTTGTTTTGTTTTTGCTATTCGATGTTATACATTCTGTAGTAAACTTCAACCCCAAAATCACATATGCTTGTTTAAAACAAGCTGCATGCCATTTAAATGTATTGGAGGTATATGAAACAAATATTTATTTTGAACTATAAAAGAAAATATTTCTCTTTTAGCCACAAAAAGCTGTTGATAATTGTGATATAGTATTAAAAGAAGATAAAACTAATCTTCGTACTTTATATGGTAAAGTATTTCGATATAAAATTACAATCACATAATCAAATTGCTCTTGCAGAATATTATACACGTCGACATGAACAATATCCACGAGAAAAAAAATATGAATTTGAATTAATTCAATAACTTCCAAATCAATCAATGAAAATAGTTTTACATATGATGAAGTTGAGTCAATACGCTTAGATAAAATATATTCAAATTTATCATTAAATTCGAATAATATTAAAGATCAATGTTCATTTATTCTTCATTTATCAGAAAACAATGTCTTTCAATCATTTAATTCTGCAACAACAAAATTAATTGAAATAATTATTACTATTAGCCGAATAATGATATTAGCTGAGCAAAATTATCAACAAGAACATAAATAAAAAATATTACTATTTTCTTATACACAGTTTTGTTTTCATATTCTTGTTGGTTGAACAAAACTTTCACAAATTCATATCGTTTTATCAATGATTCATGAAAATTATCGATAATTACTTGATGATTTGCTGTCGTATTCTTCATCTAGATCATTATTTTTTCATGATATTGAATAATATAATCGATTAAAAAAATTGTGAAATTCAGATACATTTTGTTTTCTTTTCTTTTTTTTGTACTGATTATGATAAAATTTTATTTTTAAGCAAGAAAAATATTTTTATAATAAAAAAAAAAAGAGATCAATGTGTAAGATTTAGTTTATTAGGAAATACAAGAGTATGGTAAAACTCTTTTAAGCCTAATCGCAAGCAGCAACCTGAAGTCAATAGGGAAATGGATGTGGGTGGATAGGTAGGTATGGGTAGGGGAGAGACTACGAGCTAAGTTTCGGTTGTGATTGCTACCTGCTCTGGAGCTCAATAGAAAGTGTCGCTGCAGAACAGCTATTGTGGGAGCATCATCCATGAAATGGGGTGTGGATGTAGGTAAGATATAGGTGTAAGGTACTTGAGTTTGCGGACAGGAACTATCCGAGTATGGATCTGGCGAAGACACAATTACATTCATGTGCATACCTATTTATACTTTTATTTTCTCATAATATGATGAACATTCAGTGGTACTGATAATAAACTCCAATTCAATTTGTAAAGTTATCGTTTTTTGAGACCTGTACTGACTTAAAAAATACGGTAGCTACTTTCTAGCTTATAACAACCTGTAACTCTTGAAAAATTACTTCGAACTTTTTTCTTTATAGAGCACACATCGTTGTTGTGCAACTATGCGATGAGTAACTGTCGTGTGAGAAACTGTTCGGGCAGCGACTTTTGCAGAAGCATCTGCCACTGAAGTATGCAGCATGAAGCGACTTGTGACTGTGCCTTTGGGAATTGATGCGCTGTTTCTATCACTGCCGATATGATTATAGATGTATGTATCACTGTGAGTAACTCCTCAGCACATTCACATCCTCTTTGTTTTATCTAGGGCTATTTTCTCTATTACTTTCCTCTTTTATTCATGTACTCAGCTAGACACATTCCCTGTCTTTTTTTTATTCGTTTCTTCCTATAATAGTCGCTTGATCATGTATTTCTCCAAATGTATTATGTTGCTTCTTAGTGTCTTGCATCCTTTTATTAACATCTAATACCAGTAGCTGCTGTTTCATTCGAAAAAGCCTATTTTTTATTTTATGAATAAATTAATTTCACACAACAATCTATTGCAGATCTGACAACATTCCATAGTTGGCTTCATGTATATTAATTTTTTTTTCTATCTCACGATGATCCTTGCTAATATTTCCAACCGTCACCTGCGTTACGAAAAACAAAATAAGTATCGCTTTATAATACGTCCATGATAATATCTATAAATCAGCTCGAAAACCTATCTGCCAAAATCTAATAGCGAATTTTGGTTTAATTCTTATTTTATTTAAAAAAAATAAAGCAACAAAAACGTCTTCCATTTCTCGTGAACGAATAAATCAGAAAATAATACATACGTTCTGCATTGTATTATTTGATGAATACATATGAGTTCGCTTGAGTTTTATTCTCCCTTGTGAGATTGAATCTCGGTATTTACATGGCTGACGATGACTTGCAAAGTTATCCTTATTATAATATTGTCATGTAAAATAATTTATTTTCGAATCTATAGCAATAATTTTATATGCAACATTGTGTCAAAGAAAAAGTTCTGGCATATTTATTTATTTTTGTATCGATGACGAACGAAACCTCATCAGAGTCTACCTACCGTTCGCTGTGAAACAGGCATACAGTTACAAATCATTCTGATGGCATCGTCAACACACAATCCAACAGTGGTTCGTTTGAGCAGACAGCTGTTGCTAGTATGTATCTATTAATATCTACTGAACTTTATTCTAATGAAATTTGTATTGTAACAGCAAAAGCCAGCAACTTCTCATGGGGCGAGAATGAGCTATGCATCTGTTCAAGTACATAGTATCAGTCAATCGAAGGGCGATCATAAGGATGCAGTGCGATCATCAAACGTTCTGATTCAGACAAGACGCCAATCAGTCAATGTACAACGGATAAATCGAGCATTGAGTCATCCGAAGACGCAAGTTCAGTCGTTAAATGATCAAAATAGGACAATACATTCATCAGTTGATATACAAAGGACAAATCGAGAGACCAATAATCAACACAATGCAAGACAATTATCCATAAATGATAATATTGATATCAAACTTTCGTCGGTAAAAGTTGTTCTTTTCAATAATACATTATTTGCATGTAAAGGAACAAAATGAAAATTACTCTAAAACTGCATGACAGTTAATGAGTCTATTTTTAATGACTCCTGAGCTTTCATTTGTTCTCTTGAAATATTGACTTTTGCATAAAAAAGGCGGGTGGATATTTTTTGAATCATTTTTGATAGAAGCAAGATAGAGAGCTGTAGTTTTTACCGTTAGAAAGAGAAGTACAAGACGCATCGAACTGTATATTACAGAATAATTTCACCTAGGTTTTTTTAAGGACTTGAATCGATGTTTTTTGAAAACCAATACGTTTCGTAAGGTGACTAAGGCCAATTTTCAATAATCAGGTGCGCATTCGAACGGAGAAATGAAGATCTAAAAAGATGCAGGAGAGCCAAAGTTTTAGAGTCACTCGTTCAGAAGTTATAGGGGCATTTTATTCGAAACTCTTAGCCAATTATTCTATTAATTTCTATGAAAAAATTACTTTTTAGCGTTTTTCTTACTTCAAAAGAAATCAATTTTTCGACATATTTTTCATAAAAACGATTAAGAAAATTTTAGCAAACATTTTAGAGAAATCTAAAATATACCATTCGATGCGTCTTTATTTCCTGTTTCCAAAAGTGATCATTGCAACTCTCTATCCTGCTTCTATCAAAAGTTATTCAAAAAAATATCCGTCCATTTTTTTTTGAAATGGGCAATAGTTGTGAGGTTGATATGTTACCACATCCCTTGTTTTCGTGTGCGTGCATGCCTGACATATGCGTGCAACTGTGCACCATTAGCTTATCAAAAATATACCATTGCCTTTCATTCGAAGTCTATAGCCCACATCTAACATTCCTTTCACATATCCACACCCATGCCCATGGTTCAGAATTTCTAGGGACTAGCACCCACACCGGAGTCCGAACAGCTAGGACCGGAATCACGAAGTGACGCCCATAAATATGAGGATACCTCATGAATTCAAATCTTACGCGAAAGAATGTTGACAATGTTGGTCTCTAATTGTGATGTATTTTTTAGTCAGAAGATATGAATTCGTCGTCACGGCAGTATCTGTCTTTAAATACTTCCAGTCGAAATCAAATTGTGCCATTAAATGAAAAATCTGGCATACTAGGTGTTGCAGGTAAGTTTCCTCTCCAAAAAAATTATCAAATTTGTATTGGTGCTCTAGATTATGATCATGATAAAAAGAACTCAAAGAAAACACGTAGAAGGCAAGTTTTTTTTCTGTCTTAAATTGATAGAATTTGGATTTCGGCGAACCACTATTTAGACGACGTGGAGGCTTTTACATAACGCGCTGCTGCTGTTATGCTTTGATGACTGCTATTTTGGCATGTATTTTGCTTGCGACACTCGTGGCGATTATCTTGCTCCTCGGTATGTATAAACGAACAAATAAAATAAGTTATTTTAATGTTTCAAAAATAAATCTTTACTGATCGATTGGTGATCTTGTCAACTCTGAGATTTCGTAGAAGCTCAACTATCTGATTTATTTCCGGAACATATTGCGTTAATTTATCCTCACCATATCATCGTGATAGAAGCTCGTTATATATTGCTTTTAGACGGAAGTTAACAAGGATTGTTTAAAAAGATATCATCTCATTCCTTTAGGATCTTGACCAACTTGATTCTATTTGAAATTTTCTCATTACCAAAAATAAAACTTATGCGTCGATCCCCAAAATTTATAAGTTTTTTTTTCATTTATTGCACACGCATACATTGTATTTTTTTTGCTTCATAGAAGAACATTGAAAATTTTGAAGTATTTCTTTTGTCTTAAACAAACTTTGATTTTTACGAAGAGAACACAAGATATATTGAAATGCTTAGTTTTACTTTCATTATATTGACTTTGAAGTTGCTGACGTAGCATCTCTGTTTCCATAGTAAAATAAAACACTTATTCCCAAAAGAAATTACAGTTCTATTCTTTATGACATATAAGTCATGTTGATTGTATGTGTCTCTCGTGGCAAATGATATGCATTTCGAATAGCTATTTTTGTATGCATATGTATCAATAGTATTTTTCAAACGGATAGATCACTTCATTGTTTTCAATAAATTAAATTCAAAATTTTTCAACAAAATCAAACTAGATTTATCTCATTGAAATTAAAAAAAGATGCTTCGCCCTATCATTTAATCAATAATATGGTGTCTATTGGAGGCTTCAATTCGAAATGAGTACTTGAATTTGACAAAAGATGTTTTCTCGCACTTATTTTTTGAATTCTCGTGTAGTACGAATCATTAACATAAAAAAAATCTAGTCACGTTACTTTGTTATGATAGCTCAGGAAAAGAAGTAAATGATGTCTTTTTATTGTCTACTACGTAGTTATACAACCAAAATACACGACGACCAGTACGACGGCGACTACGAGCACTTGTAAGTAAATATAGGAAG